ACAAGAGCTACTTTGCCCCCTTTCCCATTGGTGAACTTGTGGAGAAGACATATGCTTCTTGTGCTGTTTCTTTGGAGTGACATAAGTCCATCCTTCAACTTCACTCAGCTTGACTGGCATGTTTTTGGAACATGCCCCCAGCGATTGAGGTGAAGATTTTGGGTTGACAGAGCCGGAAGTGACGTCTTCTTCCAGGATTTCGTCTTCTTTGTCTTCTTGGGCTTTCTCTTCAGTGCAGTCCTCTTGGGTTTGTTGGTATGCAGATTGTCCAGTATGGATGATGGTGCGCCTTCTTACTATCAGTGGTCCATTTGCATCAACCTCCAAGATTGCCTGACGCTTCATCCTTGAAGGAATTGAGCTTCGAATATCGCCTTTTTCTACTAGCCTGTCGAGCTTTTCTTCCCTTGACGTTGTTTCCCTATTTCCAGAAAACTTCATGTTGTCTTCAAGTCTTTCCAAAGCTGATTGACGAGGAGGAGAGCTAGCCGTGTTGCTTTGCTTATTAGGTTTTGACAACCTTTCAAAAATAGAGCTTCGGGAGATTGGCCTATTAAGCCTCTTAAAGACGGAGGTTCGGTTTTGACCACCAATGTGATCAAGGGCTGACGTTCTGGGTCTTGAACGATTCATCCTATCGAAGACTGGCGTTCGAGGGGTGGATTTAGGCTCCTCTTGATCTTGTTCAATGATCACACTGATATGTTGAGTGCTAGCATTTTTCGCTTGGCTTGAAATCTTCACGGGTGCATTTGGTGTGAAGCCAAGTCCAGCTTTGTTGTTGTTAACTCCGTAACCATGCTTCTTCAACTTCTTTTGAGTCTCGGTGAGGTCACGTTCTTTATTGTTGATGGTGTTTGAAACCTTTTTTCCAGGATTCGAAGAAGAAGTGAAGTCGTACCCAGCTTTTGACATGAGTTTGTAGGCGTTCGGATCAAAACCTTCTTCAGTCCTCTTTGTTGGGAGAAAACTTGGTTCCGCTCTCTTTGGTAGAGCTTTTACGAAGCCTTGTGGTAATCTTGCAACCTTAGCGTTGCTTAGCTGTGTCAGAGGTAGAACTGCATTTGTCTTGAGCAACTTTACATTATCCATGTACCGTTGTGCATCAGCTTTGCTTGCTTCAGTTTCGAATGGGGATTGACCATTCTTTCTTCTTGACATCGGGATGTATCGGTAAACGGGTGTGTTTAGTACATTTGAGGGCGTCCTACTCCCTTTGGTTATTGCAGGTTTAGCAAGCTCATCATCGTTCTTGCTTGAAGATGACATGGCTTCTTCTTCTTGCTTCTTGGGCATGGCTTTCCACTCCTGCTTTTTAGGTGTTGCTTTACCCGTGGATTTGATCTCTTTTGGAAGAGCTTCGAGCACCATGTCTTCATCCATGTAGAACTTGGCGTCTGCGAAATGTGATTCGGCTTCGGTGAATGGTTTGGTGTCGCCATAGATCACCTTCACTCATTCTCGGTAGAATTTCAAGCATTGGTGAAGGGTGGACGGTACTACTCCATTTGCATGGATCCAAGGCCTTCCTAAGAGCAAGCCGTAGGAAGTTCTTGCATCAATCACGTGGAATATCGTGCTTGACTTGAGTTCACCAATAGTCATCTCTACTCGGATCATGCCCATTGCTTTTTGTCCTCCTTGATTAAAACCTTGAATTAGTAGACGACTTAAGGACAGTTCATCCGCCTTGATGCCGATTGTAGTCATTGTTGACTTTGGCATGATGTTTATGGCTGATCCACCATCCACAAGCATGCGGTTGACTTTGTGCTCCCTTACGTACCCAGAGACGAAGAGAGGACGGTTGTGAGGCTTGGATCCTAGCAGCAAGTCTTCGTCGGTGAAATGGATTGTGTCTTCGATGGCACAGCATGTGTCATATTCATGTGACCGAAGTTTGAAGCCTTCGTTCTTGCTTTCTTGCACTTCGTGGTCATTGGGACTTTCCAAGATCGCTGCTAATGCTATTCGCATCTTCTTTGGTAATCGCAGCGCTTCCTCAATGCTAAAGTGTGTTGGCAGACCTTCTTCGAGCGTGAGAACTTTTTCTCCTTCAGTGGTGATATCTTTGCCTTTTGAAGGTTCTTCTATTTCTACTTCGACCATGTGGCATGCAGCGATAATGCCCTGTTGGAAGAAGTCGTTCGGGAAGTACTCGTGCAATAAGATAGGAATGCGTGGCTTTTGCTCCGTAGGTTCCCCAACATACATTGGCTTATCAACTTTTACGTTGCTTTTGGGCTTCCTACTGTTGCGGCGACGGTGATTTCTCACTTGTTCCACCTTTTGTCTTATTGCTTGTGGTTTTGGTTTCCTTGTTTTTTTGTAGGTCACCAATGTCCATCCTTCTTCATCATCGGCATGTGCATCTTGTTCGTTTTCCCCCGGTGATGGTTGCGCATAAGGTATCGTGTAACTTGAGCATTGATAGGAATGGTCAAGTGCTACTCGGAGAGGCACGGGATCGAAAGTTCCAAATGCAATTGTAGTAGTATGTGTCGCGGCCGTGTCTTCAAGGTCGAGCTCGATTCGCCCTTGTTGTGCTAGTTTCATGATGAGCTTTTTGAGGACGAAGCATTTACCCACAGGATGGCTCACGATTCGATGGTACTTGCAGTATTTAGGATCGTTTATGCGATTCATTTCTTCAGGCCGCTTGCATTCGGGTAGCTCAATTACCTTCTTTTCTAGCAAGTCGTCTAACATTGCATCCATGTCTGAGTCAGGAAAAGGGTATACCTTCTGCTCCAATTCCCTCAAGGTGCTTTTGTACCTTTCTTGGGTGCGAGGAGGCTCACTTTTCTTTATCTCATTTGCTTTGGTTTTAGAGGAAATCTTGATAGGCGCGGATGCGGTCTTGACGGGCGCAATGCTGACGGTGAACGCTTCATTGGGGGGTTTCTTCCCAGTCTTGTCTACATTTGGGGAGAACACCTTATCCTTCTTGAAGTCGGTGATCGGCTCTTTCTTCCCGTGATGGGCAATACTTAGCTCCATGTCGTGGGCACGGGTGGCTAACTCTTCAAATGTCCGTGGTTTGATGCCTTGAAGGATATAGTGTAACCCCCATTGCATGCCTTGGACGCACATCTCGATCGAAGAGATCTCCGAAAGCCTGTCCTTGCAGTCGAGGCTCAGATTGCGCCATCGGTTGATGTAGTCCACGACTGGCTCATCCCTCCATTGCTTCGTGCTTGTTAGCTCTAGCATGCTCACGGTGCGGCGGGTGCTGTAGAAGCGATTGAGGAATTCCCTTTCCAACTGTTCCCAGCTGTTGATGGATTCGGGCTCCAGGTCTGTGTACCACTCAAAGGCGTTTTCTTTTAACGAGCGCACAAACTGCTTGGCGAGGTAATCTCCTTCCGTCCCTGCATTGTTGCAGGTTTCGACGAAATGTGCGACATGTTGCTTCGGGTTTCCTTTTTCATCAAACTGCATGAACTTTGGTGGTTGATAACCCATTGGCATCTTTAGGGCATCAATCTTCTTGGAGTAGGGCTTTGAGTAGAATGATGAGGTATGTGAGCTCCCCTCGTACTGCGCCTTGATGGTGCTGGTTATCATCTCTTGCAGTTGTTGGATAGAAAGAGATCCCATGAGTGCCTCTGCTTGGCCTGGCTCTGGCTTCACATCGGTTTTCTCCACCGGAGGCTCTTCATCCTCGTTGTTTTCCTTCTTTACTGAACCATCCCCTTGCTTGATTTTCACGTCGGGCTTTACATCTAGTTGATTGACTAGTGCGGTGATTTGCTGGTCTTTTTCTTCCACAATCCGTGTTAGCCTTGCGATTGTTTCATTCATATGAACCAGCTGCTCATCGACTGATGTTGCTCCAGCAGTCATGACTTGCATGGCTGAGTTGCCGCTTGAGTCAGCATCGGAAAGCATGAAACCAGAGTACTTCCTTGGGCTTTCCTTCCTTGGCGCCTTTAGCGAAGCCAGGGTGATCACAGGTTCATGCTTCAGGTGCTCTTGTTCCTTCGGCGGAGTTGATGCAGAGGTGGAAGATGCGGCAGAAAGAGCTCTTGCCTTGCTTCGAGTTATGATGCCCGAAGTGACACCGCCTACGGTGATAACGTTCTTGTTCCTTGCATTGGCCGCGAGAACAACTTGAGCCTTCTTTGATGCCATTTGTGCTTTTTGCGGATTCAAAGATAGAGATGAGAGGTAGAGATGGTCCCACCGGGCGTGCCAAATTTGTGAACACGGAAATTTCCTGCGATGAACGAGACAAGAAACACGTGTACAAAATAATATTTTGTATTGATGATTTAGGGGTTACAATCTCTTCTACAAATTTAGCTTCTGATTCTATCTTTGTAATGGGTGGATTTGATGTTGTTGGTCCAAAGGGCCGTCGGGGATTGATCTTGGGATAAACAGTTGTGCAGATTTGTTGACGTCGTGGATCCAAAGGGCCGTCGGGGCTTGATCTAAGGATGAACAAATGATGAACGATGAACACTTTCTTCAAGGGCCGTGGGGGCTTGATCTTGAATCAGCGGAAGTTCTTCAAGGGCCGTTGGGGCTTGATTTTGAATGAGGATTTGACGAAGAACGAAGAGAGCTTTCTTGATCCTTCGGGATTTGCTTGGGAGCTTTTGAGTTTCAAAGCTTCAAGGTTTTGATATGAGGTGAATTGGTTATGAATTGGTTTTCCCAAAATGAATGCCTTGGCCTCCTATTTATAGAATTCCAAAACTTGATTTTTTAGATTTAAATAATTAGATGAAATAAATCATCTCTGTCAGGTGTTGACACGTGTCCTGTTTGATGACTTTTCCGATTTATTTTGATTTTTCGATTAGTCACATGCTATGTGTAAAATTTATGTGACACATAAATATTGAAATTTTAATTTTTGATCAACATTTATTTTACCGAAATTTCGATGTCTACAATTTAGTCTGAAAATTTAGGTTGATTCCACGTCTTTGAGATCCAGAGACTCCCTCTAATAAGAACGATCCAGTTGCTTTACTATTTATATTGGATGCTCAATCGATGAGATCATCCAACTCTATAAAATCACCCTCCATAATGGAATGTAAGTGCTTGGCCGCAAAATTATCAATTGGATTCCTACCACCAAGCACAGATGCTGGCACCTGCACAGAAAGAAATCCAAATAATTTAGCAGAAAAAATTATAATTTAAAACAGGATCAGACGAACCATGTATATGTAATGTAACTGGACGTAATGGAATCACTATTACAGTTGTATTACATCAGCATCAGAAAATTTCAAAAGCCACCTGTGTCTAGAAAACTTCAGACTCCGACTAATTCAATAATTTTGAGACACGAAGTGCTTAAAATAACATAAGGATTCGAAGTGATCATGGAGTGCTTAAAATAACAAATGGGGAATTTCTAAGGATGGAGGCATATGGATATTTCTGACTGCAAAGTGCAAAACTATCACAAAATAAGCATCATAAAATGTCTGATGCTAATGAAAGACACCGCTTAGAATAAGTGTCCCAACAGAAAACGATAATTTTTAACCAGTTTATCAAGGTAACAAACTTCACAAGATGTCCTTTAGATTCTAAAAAATAAGGCATAGTACCATTGATGTGGCAGAATGAAAAACAAAGTAAATTATTGAAACTGGTAGAATATATCAACAATTGAAAAATGAATTCTATTGAACAGCTATGTAAGACTCTGTCGTTGTTAAATAGTATAGTATTTCAAGCATGTGAATGATGGAAGTAGCACTAACAGTAGCAGCACAAGAATTTGTTTAAGGTGCATTTACCCGTTCATTAGACTGAATTCTTGAGACAGAAACAGGCCTTGTCATGACTCGATCATCTAGCTCAGGGTCCAGCCTCGGATATTTTGACATCTCATTTTTCCTGGGCACAGAAGTGTCACCATGCACCTCATTTTCACTACTACTGGGAGCATGAAATCCATCATGCTGAATTCCAATGTGACGAACAGTGCAAGCACTTTGTTCAGCATAAGAACTTAAACCATGATCTGATATTCTATTTCCACTACGAGATGTCACCAAAATACGGCAAAGGACAAAAGCAGCCTGCACATGAACAGACATACGACATGTTACTCATGTGCACACACGCCCCGGTAATGACTAAGACCATCTCCAAACCTGGGCTAAAAGCCAAATTACCTCTCAAATTACCTCCTCAAACACTCTTCAACCCATGTTAAAATTTTAGGCTAAATGCCAAATGTTATTTTTGGGCCAAATACCCCCCCAGCTTTCCCCCGGGCTAAATGCCAAATGTTTATCTGAATTAAAAATTTTTTAGATTAAAATGTTCATAAAATTAATTTACAATAATCTACATATTTATTTTAAAAAAAAATTGATTTAAGAAAAAAATTAGTCTAAGTTCATTCTTTAATAATTCCGGGCTAAAATTTTAGGGCAGAAGGGTTGGAGCAGAAAAGATGTTTCTGGGCTAAAAGCCAAATTTTTCAGGCTAAAAAATTTGGTTTTTAGCCCAAGGGTTAGAGATGGTTTAAGGGGAGTATCAATCGTATGGCATAACGCACAATGCTTAATCGGCTTGAGAGCTAGACCATGGTTGAACGTCATGAAGAATAAATTTGCAAAAGAGAGTGTCAACACCTACACTTCTACTCATGTCTCACCGAGTTAAAAAAAAAATCGTCTATGCTTGCACAGCCTATTGGGTTCTAATGAGACATTTTCGATAACTATCTACTCGGTAAAAATGTGGTTTTGCGTTAAAAGTGAACAGTACCGGAAATGTTTCGTTAAAACTCTAAAAAAAAAAAAAGGTTTAGGTTAAGAGTACAAGGTGAGAGGATAATATGAGAAAGTATACAAAGTGTATTTTTAATTGAAAAAATAAATATAAGGTGTATTAAATATGTATAGTGCATTCAACGCGGTGCCATACGTTACTCTGTCCAAGATTTCAAAACGCTCAATAAAAACTCTCGTGAGAAACCTCAATTCAAAAATCCAATCCAATCCATCGAGACTCTCAATGGCGCTGGTGGTGGTCTCGTCGTCCGTCGAAGCCGGCATCGGCTGCTAGGACCTCCGCACAAGCGCCGAGCAACTCTTAGCCTCTCCGACTCACGACCTCATCTGCGTCGGCAAACGGTTCATCGCCCACTCTTAGCCTCTTGAGCCTTCTGCCTCCTCTGGCTTTATCCAGTACTGGTCCTGGTCCAAGGTAAGATCACCTCCTTTCTTATGCACACAACCTGTTTGATGAATTGCCTGAATTACAGAGGTGTTAGTTGCTTGGTATTTTCAGATGATGGCTTCCTGCTGATTGCAAGGTCAGAGGATGAAGGCATTAGAATTTGGTCTCTTATAGGATAATCACTTCTTATCTTATATTTTTGTATCTTTATATTGTTTTTAATTATGCACTGAAAACAGTTATTTCTCTATCTGTTGAATCTCACAGATTATGCGATGATGATCAAAGTCAACAGGAAAGCCATCTGTGCATGTATAACTTTACGGAGCACACTCTGTTTAACGGCTGTTGTCGTAGGATATGGTGGATGCAAAGCCATTATCGTGTCAGCATCTCAGGATCGCACATGTAAGGTATGGCGTGGTCTTTAGTAAATTATGAACAGTATTTGGTATAATAATAATGTTATGTAACAGACGGATCATGTACTGAACAATGGTGACAAGGTTAATTAAAATGAGGTCTGGGTACTATAGGAGAAAACGATTCATGAATTTACCATCTACGTGTGGATTGTTTCTCTTGACTCGTTGATCTTTTACTTTGTTAAATGCTCAGATTTATCTTCTCGGTTTTTTGTAGCATGTATTCCTTGTAAGTCCCTCAATATGTATTACATGTCTTTTGCCTGTTATGTACTGATGCATTCTTATTCATCCCCAGTAAACAAAAAAGAAATGCATTCTTGAAAATGCATGTGTATTATAGTTTTGATTTGGACGTACATTTCTTAGGTTTGGAGTGTAGGAAGTGGGAGATTGTTGAGAAATATTGTTTTCCCTATTATAATTGATGCGATTGCACTGGATCCTGGTGAAAATGTCTTCTTTGCGGGTGGTAGAGATGGCAAGATATACGTTGCTGCACTTAATGCTAGAGCCCACTTAACAGCAAGTATGGGTTCCATATCATCGATTGTTTCTCGAATCACAGGTTTCTCTCTTTTCCTATACGAACCTTTTGATGAACTTACTGATATTCCAGTTTGCAGTTTTATTTGGTATTCAGATGAGTTTTCTTCAGTTAAGACTTCTCTAATTTTTAACTCTGTATTTTTCGTATTTCAAAGTATAACTGCCAAACATTGTTGCACGTTTTAAGAACCCTGCATTCTTCGTATAGTTATGACAGACAGGCTTTGCATTCTGGGGAACTGAATTGAGGAACATTCATTTTAGTAGATTTCGAATGAGTAAAACTCTTTTAACTGACAATTTTATACTTTCTGAACTGCAAAGCTGTTACTTGCTTAGCATATGGCATTTCTGGAAATCACTTGATTTCTGGATCAGATGATGGTGTGGTTCGAGTTTGGGATGCTAGAACTCATAACATTCTTCGCATGTTCAAACATGCAAAAGGTTATCTCAATGCTATTTGAATTATTTCCTTACCCGGGTTGATGCAAATTTGATGATATTAAAGCAAATTTAGTGCTAATTAGTGTACCACTGTTTCATAATACAGTATATATTAGAATATCTCAGTTGCTATGTTCAATCTGCCAAACTTTACTAATTCGTTTAGTATTTACATAAAATTTGCTGTACTCCACAGGTCCAGCATTTTTCTGCGAAATATATTGAAGACCTCAAACAAGTCTGGAGCTCTTTGCATTATACTGTACACACACACACACACAATTAATGTGCCTATGTCTAGGCGATCTTCATTCTGCCCGAAGGCAAAGGAAAAGATGATTCCGATGAAATCTGTAATGCAGCAACCAACCACCGGTTCTAGGAATGCATGCAGCTTTGTCTCCCTTTCCATCTCACTTCCTCTCCTGCGTTCATTAGCAGCACTCGCAACAGTCAGGCAGGTAGGATTAACGAAAAAAACTTGAAAAGTTCAACGAAACATGCATGCATAAACTAAACACCCCAATTAATTTTGAGATTACCTGTTTCTGCACTCTTCCTTTTAGATGATTTTTGCACCCGGCCAAACTCAGCTCCAATGTAGTGGTTTTGGTTTATTTCAGGTAGCATTGTTTGTACACCCTGGAACTGCTAGTAGCTAAATCAGAAAACTGGAGGTCTGCAAAATTTTGTGACCATAAACTGTTACTTTCTTGCATATAATTTTCGGTTTAAAGTTGCTTATTATAGTCTCAAATCCAGAGATTTTAAAAATAAAATAAAACTGGAGCATTGCAAATCACGATATTGGGAGAGGAGGAATCGACCTGGGGACCTAGAATATGGTCTTTACCCTTGCAACATTATAAATTGTTACTTTCTTGCATATTTTTGGAGATTTTAAAAATAAAATAAAACTAGAGTATTGCAAATCACGATACTAGGAGAGGGAAAATTGAACTCGGGACCCGGAATATGGTCTTAAACCGAGTTACAAGTCCCTTGCAACCTTATATATAATAACTTGTCTAGTTGGAACATGGGATCTTGTCATTTGGCAAGTATAATAAAAGCTCAACCATGAAATTAGCGCAACAACAACAACAACAACAAAGCCTTTTCCCACTAAGTGGGGTCGGCTATATGAATCCTAGAACGCCATTGCGCTCGGTTTTGTGTCATGTCCTCCGTTAGATCCAAGTACTCTAAGCCTTTTCTTAGAGTCTCTTCCAAAGTTTTCCTAGGTCTTCCTCTACCCCTTCGGCCCTGAACCTCTGTCCCGTAGTCACATCTTCGAACCGGAGCGTCAGTCGGCCTTCTTTGCACATGTCCAAATCACCGGAACCGATTTTCTCTCATCTTTCCTTCAATTTCGGCTACTCCTACTTTACCTCGGATATCCTCATTCTCAATCTTATCCTTTCTCGTGTGCCCACACATCCCACGAAGCATCCTCATCTCTGCTACACCCATTTTGTGTACGTGTTGATGTTTTCACCGCCCAACATTCTGTGCCATACAACATCGCTGGCCTTATTGCCGTCTTATAAAATTTTCCCTTGAGCTTCAGTGGCCTACGACGGTCACACAACATGCTGGATGCACTCTTACACTTCATCCATCCAGCTCGTATTCTATGGTTGAGATCTCCATCTAATTCTCCGTTCTCTTGTAAGATAGATCCTAGGTAGCGAAAAACGGTCGCTTTTTGTGATCTTCGCTAAATTGCTCCGGTCATTAGTGTGGATAAGTATATAAATGGATAGAGATAGGAAAGCAAACACAAGATGTACGTGGTTCACCCAGATTGGCTACGTCCACGGAATAGAAGAGTTCTCATTAATTGTGAAGGGTTTACACAAGTACATAGGTTCAAGCTCTCCTTTAGTGAGTACAAGTGAATGATTTAGTACAAATGACATTAGAGTACAAATGACATTAGGAAATATTGTGGGAGAATGATCTCGTAATCACGAAACTTCTAAGTATCGGAGTGTGGTATCATCTTGACTTGCCTTATCTGTCTCATAGGTAGATGTGGCAGCTTCTCTGGAAGTACTCTTCCTCCATCCAGGGGTGGTATCTTTAACTGGTGGAGATGCACAAGGTAATGTATCAATTTCACTTGAAGCTTACTTGTAGTTTCAGGCTTGGTCAAGCGCGATACAAACCATGTAGTAGGAGTCCCCCAAGTCGCCGAGCTAGGGGATTTGCTGAAAGAGGTGACAGACAAGGTAAGCAATCAGAGCTCCGGCTGATTGTTCACCTTCTCCCCATCTTGCAGCAGAATGAAGGATGAAGAGAAGAAAAATGAGAAGAGATGATATGGGATACTTTTGCTTTTGAAGAAGTAACTTTCCACAGGCTTATTCTTGAACTGAGCTGGAGGGTTTTCTGGTTTCCTCCAGAGTATAAGGCCGACTGAAGAATTTGAGGGTCAAAACAAGTCCATCAAATCTAGAGTACGTTCGACCCTGCTGATATGGGATACTTTTGCTTTTGACAGAGTAATGGATGGATCGGCACGTGTGCTGTTACGCTTATCTCCACATGCTTCCTTGTATCCTTCGCACTTGCCCTATCTGTTCCTCAAGCAGATGCGGTATCTTCCCTGGCAACATAAGATGTTGAAGATGAGTACTCGAGAGCAATGCCAGGTAAGTAATCAGGTAAGGGGTTCCAGGCTGTCAGTTCCTGGCTGGGAGCTTGATTTCAAGTGCTGACTGATTGCTCTCTTTCTCCTTATCTTGCAGGTAAAAACAAGGCCAAAGGAAAAGACAGGGAAAAAGCATGATATGGGATACTCTTGCTTTTAACCCTGATGATATGAGATATTCTTGCTCTAGTATAGCTTGTTTGCAGAGGTATTATCGGGGGGAAAGAAAGCTGAATATTTCGAAAGGCTTCGTTGGGAGTGCCCTCTCAGATATGAGGAAGGGTTGAGCATTTTTGCAGGTCTGCCTGTCCGTTGGGGATGGAGGTCGACATATATAGGAGTCTCCCTAACAACAAGTAGTAATGCTATTCCTTTACCCTGCTTGGTCATAGCACGGTAGTGGGAGCTGCCAGCTTCACATGTTTTAACTCTGTCAGAGCACTTTGAAAAAAGTGGTATGTGGTATCTGGCTCTCGAGATTCGGAGAACGATGCTTCTTCGATTTTTGAGAAAGCAATCATGGTGGGGGTCTGGCTCTCGAGATTCGGGGAGCAGTGTCTCTTCGATTTTTGAGAAAGTAATCATGTTGGGAGTCTGGCTCTCGAGATTCGGAAGGCGGTGCCTCTTCGATTTTGGAGTAAGCAATCTTGTTGGGAGTGTTTTCTCGGATGTGAGTAAAGGTTGGGCATGTTTGCTAGTCTACCTTGCCACGAAGCACGGAGGTTGACACACAGGGACTTTCCAATTATCCAGCAGTGGTACTGTTCCTTTACCCTTGTGGGTAATAATATGGTAGCTAGACCTTCAAAATTTATGTGTCTAAACTTTGTTAGTGCTGTTTCTTTGCTATTCTTTTACCTTTCTTGGTCAGAGCGATGTAGTGGGAGCTGCAAGCTTCACGTGCTCAACTTTGGCAGAGACTTTGACAAAGTTATCTGTGGTACCCATGAGCTATTGTTGCGTGTGGGAAGTGGGTGATTGAACAGTAAGATTCATGTGCTTTCTACTTCACCAGAAGTCTTCGACAGAATGCCCATAATTTCCGCAAAGCTGAGTGTGCGTGTGACAGGTGCTGACAAGGCTAGAAAAGAAGGTGCCTCTTCGATTTCTGAGATCGGCCCTCGTGGTCTCTGAGCAGCCCAGCTTTTGAGAAAGCGAGCGCCTCTTCGATTGATTCGGAGAACGATGCCTCTTCGATTTTTGAGAAAGCAATCATGGTGGGGGTCTGGCTCTCGAGATTCGGGGAGCAGTGTCTCTTCGATTTTTGAGAAAGTAATCATGTTGGGAGTCTGGCTCTCGAGATTCGGAGGGCGGTGCCTCTTCGATTTTGGAGCAAGCAATCTTGTTGGGAGTGTTTTCTCGAATGTGAGTAAAGGTTGGGCATGTTTGCTAGTCTACCTTGCCACGAAGCACAGAGGTTGACACACAGGGACTTTCCAATTATCCAGCAATGGTACTGTTCCTTTACCTTCTCTTCGATTTTTGAGAAAGTAGTCATGTTGGGAGTCTGGCTCTCGAGATTCGGAGGACGGTGCCTCTTCGATTTTGGAGCAAGCAATCTTATTGGGAGTGTTTTCTCGAATGTGAGTAAAGGTTGGGCATGTTTGCTAGTCTACCCTGCCACGAAGCACGGAGGTTGACACACAGGGACTTTCCAATTATCCAACAGTGGTACTGTTCCTTTACCCTTGTGGGTAATAATATGGTAGCTAGACCTTCAAAATTTATGGGTCTAAACTTTGTTAGTGCTGTTTCTTTGCTATTCTTTTACCCTTCTTGGTCAGAGCGATGTAGTGGGAGCTGCAAGCTTCACGTGCTCAACTTTGGCAGAGAACTTTGGCAAAGTTATCTGTGGTACCCATGAGCTATTGCTGCGTGTGGGAAGTGGGTGATTGGACAGTAAGATTCATGTGTTTTCTACTTCCCCAGAAGTCTTCGACAGAATACCCATAATTTTCGCAAAGCTGAGTGTGCGTGTGACAGGTGCTGACAAGGCTGGAAAAGTAGGTGCCTCTTCGATTTCTAAGATCGGCCCTCGTGGTCTCTGAGGAGCCCAGCTTTTGAGGAAGCGAGCGCCTCTTCGATTTCTGAGATCGGCTTTCGTGGTCTTTGAGCAGCCCAACTTTTGAGAAAGCAAACACCTCTTCGATTTATGAGATCAACCCTCGTGGTCTCTAAGCAGCCCAGCTTTTGAGAAAGCAAACGCCTCTTCGATTTCTGAGCAGGCGCCTCTTCGATGTCTAAAGCTCCGTCGAGTGCAGCTTTTTATAGGGGCTGGCATTAAGTTCCAAAGCACACTTGAATCTCCACCAGTAGAAGCTCCATTCTTGCACTTCTAAGATCTTGATTTGTCCGACCTCTTCTCTCTTCAATACCTTTGAAAATGTCTGGCCCCTCCGACCGTCGTTTTGACTTGAACCTTGTTGAAGAGGCAGCCCCGCCTTCTCCAGACAACATATGGCGCCCATCCTTCGTCTCCCCTACTGGTCCTCTTACCGTTGGGGATTCCGTGATGAAGAATGATATGACCGCTGCGGTGGTGGCCAGGAACCTTCTCACTCCCAAAGATAACAGACTACTTTCCAAACGGTCTGATGAGTTAGCTGTTAAGGATTCACTGGCTCTCAGTGTTCAGTGTGCAGGTTCTGTGTCTAATATGGCCCAACGCCTATTTGCTCGAACCCGCCAAGTTGAATCATTGGCGGCCGAAGTGATGAGTCTCAAACAGGAGATTAGAGGGCTCAAGCATGAGAATAAACAGTTGCACCGGCTCGCACATGACTATGCTACAAACATGAAGAGGAAGCTTGACCAGATGAAGGAAACTGATGGTCAGGTTTTACTTGATCATCAGAGATTTGTGGGTTTGTTCCAAAGGCATTTATTGCCTTCGTCTTCTGGGGCTGTACCGCGTAATGAAGCTCCAAATGATCAACCTCTGATGCCTCCTCCGTCTAGGGTTCTGTCCAGTACTGAGGCTCCGAATGATCCCCCTCTGATGCCTTCTCTTTCTGGGGCTCTACCGACTGCTGAGACTTCTCCTAAGCAACCTTTGTGAAGGCTCCATCTTGTTTGTTTATTTTGACTCATGTATATGTACATATTTGTAGCTTATCGGGGATATCAATAAATAAGTTTTCCTTCATTTCAACGTATTGTGTTAAATACACCAAAGCCTTCTTCGCTAAGTTCTTTGAATTTTCTTTTGTTGAAGCTTGTATGTTGAAGCTTTCTGAGTGGAGCATGTAGGTTGGGGTAGTGTTCCCTTAATTTTTCGAGTGAGGAAAACTTCTCGGTTGGAGACTTGGAAAATCTAAGTCACTGAGTGGGATCGGCTATATGAATCTTAGAACGCCATTGTGCTCGGTCCTGTGTCATGTCCTTCGTTAGATCCAAGTACTCTAAGTCTTTTCTTAGAGTCTCTTCCAAAGTTTTCCTAGGTCTTCCTCTACCCCTTCGGCCCTGAACCTCTGTCCCATAGTCGCATCTTCTAATCGGAGCGTCAGTAGGCCTTCTTTGCACATGTCCAAACCACCGTAACCGATTTTCTCTCATCTTTCCTTCAATTTCGGCTACTCTTACTTTACCCCGGATATCCTCATTCCTAATCTTATCCTTTCTCGTGTGCCCACACATCCAACGAAGCATCCTCATCTCCGCTACACCCATTTTGTGTACGTGTTGATGCTTCACCGCCCAACATTCTGTGCCATACAGCATCGCCGGCCTTATTGCCGTCCTATAAAATTTTCCCTTGAGCTTCAGTGGCATACGGCGGTCACACAACACGCCAGATGCACTCTTCCACTTCATCCATCCAGCTTGTATTCTATGGTTGAGATCTCCATCTAATTCTCCGTTCTTTTGCAAGATAGATCCTAGGTAACGAAAACGGTCGCTCTTTGGTATTTCTTGATCTCCGATCCTCACCCCTAACTCGTTTTGGCCTCCATCTGCACTGAACTTGCACTCCATATATTCTGTCTTTGATCGGCTTAGGCGAAGACCTTTAGATTCCAACACTTCTCTCCAAAGGTTAAGCTTTGCATTTACCCCTTCCTGAGTTTCATCTATCAACACTATATCGTCTGCGAAAAGCATACACCAAGGAATATCATCTTGAATATGTCCTGTTAACTCATCCATTACCAACGCAAAAAGGTAAGGACTTAAGGATGAGCCTTGATGTAATCCTACAGTTATGGGAAAGCTTTCGGTTTGTCGCTTCCTCTGCCTCGACTATGCCTTCACCTTCATCTTCAAAATTAGAACCAGAAAATTTACCCTTGATTGTGATGTTGGGGATGTGAGAAATCTTGGGCCACTCCTTTCCTCTGCCTTCTTCGCAACCTCGTGCAAGACTCGGAGAGTCCTCGATGTTAAGTGTCTGAAGTGGTGTTTTCATCAAGAAGTTTGGTAGTGTTTTTAGCCGAGGGCAGCTATAGAACCCTAGAGAAGAAAGGCATGGGCATTATGGTAATATTAGGATCCTCTTCCTTCCACTCTTCCCATGCCTCCATGAACAAAAAGCGGAGTCGTTTCAATTTTGGGAATAGAGTAATGCATGATGATGCTGATGACGTTTCCTTTTCCATTCCCAGAAACTCAACTCCAACCTTTTTCACTCCGTTCATTTCCCAAAGCCAGAGTGTTTCGAGGGACGGCAATTTTCCCAAAGGAGGTAAAACTTCACATCTCTTAAGAGAAACATGTCTCAACTTGTTTAATGACATGATCCAGTTGGGGGCAGTGATTGCATTAGGCGCCTTAATAACTAAACACTCCAAATTTGGATGCGGTTGTAAGAAATTCAATATTTCTGCACCTCTCCCCGTCTTCCCAAACAATAAGTATAATCAAATTTGATAGTTGTTGTTTGTTCTCCAGGGGTGATCCTTTCTCACCCTCACCCGCAGCAACTTTCACTTCCCCAACAATTTTTATCCAAAGTTCACGAAGTTGGTCTAAGTTTCTCAAATCTCCCAATTTGAATGCTTCATTGTCGTCTTTACCACTACCAAAAGGGCACCCACCTAGTGTTCTTAGATTTGTTAATCTCCCAATCCCTTTCGGCAAGTACTTCAGCTCAAAGCAACCCCCAACATAAAGATGCTTTAAGTTAATCAACTTTCCCATGCTCTGAGGTAGACTTTCAAGTTTCCAACACATATTAAGGCGCAATGTCTGCAAATTGTATAAATTACACAACGCCTTCGGTAGCTTTTTCAAACCATAATTTTCAGACAAATCAATGAACCTTAGATGCACCAATTCACCTATCTCTTCTGGAAGCTCTTCAATAGAATTACCGCTCAATTTCAATGTCCTAAGATGTTTCAACTGCAAGATCAAGGTTGAGACCACGATGGTGAATTTTGAATCAAAAGTTGCAAGAGTACGCAGATCACTTTTGTGGCCGAAAAACGAAACACATGAGAGTGGACCCTTAGGTGCAAGCATTAAGGTCAAATGGTGGATCTTATCACCCAAGGGCTTTATTGTATTGTTACCACCCTTGACCTCCATTGTAAAGCATTCATTTAGAGTAAGAAACTGCAGAAAGTCATGCACAATATCATGCATTTTACACCTCCAGATATTTCCATTGTCGTCTTCTTCAAAGTCTTGAAAGAAAAACCGCATTACACAATAATGACTTTTTGTATGTTTATATAAAAAAATAAAATGTGAGTTCTATGCTACAATTCGTAATCAAATACATAAAAATTGAGAACCATATCAATTGGTTAGAGGGCCTACTTGATCTCTTACAATTTCAGCTAAGCAAATGACAAAAAATACTGATCCTGTAGGGGTCACTCGTGGCATCGTATCCTTTGTAAGGGTAGTCCTCTCCGCTGTCAATTCCACCATTTTTTATGATGAACTCGAAGGCGTAGTCCATGAGACCACCATTGCATCCTTCATTGTATGTTGACTAATTCCTAGCAAAAATCTCAGAGAGCAGCACCATCAATGTTTTACGTTTCCGTTACTCTCTTCGAGATTCCAAAACGCTCAATAAAAACCCTTGTGAGAAACCCCAGTTCACCAGTCATCAGTCGAAGCCGGCATTGGCTGTTGGGACTTCTGCACGGGCGCCGAGCAGCTCCGCTACAAGCTCTGCACCTCTCCGCCTCGCGGTCTCATCTGCGTAGGCGAGCGGTTCCTCGCCTCCTCTCAGCTTCTCGAGTCTTCTTCCTCCTCTGGCTCTGTCCTGGCCCTGGTCCAAGGTAAGATCACCTCCTTTCTTAAGCACACAACCTGTTTGATGAATTGCCTCAATTGATAAAAGTCTGCATTTTTATTGAATTTTAGGAATTCTTGCAATTTTATTGAATTTTGGGAGTTTTGATGTGCAGCCGCAAGTTCATGTCTAGAGCTTTCCAAAAGAACCGATCAATCTGCTCGCTGTGAACAGCGAAGGCACATAGATTGTTGGCAGAGGCTCGCCGGGGAATATCTACTTGTGGGAGGTTATTTTTCCTAATCATTTTTCTTTGTCTTCTTGGATTTTCGTAGCATGTATTCTTATAAGTTCCTCAATATCTATGACATGTCTTTTGGCTATGGCCCTATTATGTACTGATGCATTTGTATTCGTCTCCAATAAACAAAAAAGCAATGCATTCTTGAAACCGCATGTGTATTATAGTTTTGATTTGGGTGTACATTTCTTAGGTTTGGACCGTAGGAAGTGGGAGATTATTGAGAAATCTTGTTTTCCCTACTATATTCCAGTTTGCCGTTTTTTTGGTTATTCAGATGAGTTTTCTTCAGTTAACAATTCTCTAATTTTTAACTGTGTATTTTCGTTTTTCAAAGTATAACTGCCGAAGATTGTTGCATGTTTTAAGAACCCTGGATTCTTCATTTAGTTATGACAGGCTTTGCATTCTGGTGAACTGAATCGAGGAACATTCATTTTCGTATATTTTGAATGAGTAAAACTCTTTTAACTCACAACTTTATACTTTGACTTTTTGAACAGCAAAGCTGTTACTTGCATAACATATGGTATTTCTGGAAATTATTTGAATTCTGGATCAGAAGGTGGCATGGTTCGAGTTTGGGATGCTAGAACTCATAACATTGTTCACGTGTTCAAACATGCAAATCGCTATCTCAATGCTATTTGAATTATTTCCTTCCCCGGGTTTATGCAAATTTGATGACATTGAAGCAAATTTGATGTGAATTAGTGTACCACTGTTTCATAATACAGTTTATATTCGAATATCTCAGTTGTTTATGTTCAATCTGCCAAACTTTACTAATCTGTTTAGTAAAAAGGTCGTACCCAGTGCACAAGGCTCCCGCTTTAAGCAGGGTCTGGGAGAGGTGAATGTCGGCTAGCTTTACCCCCATTTATAGAGAGGCTGCTCCCAAGTCTCGAACCCGAGACTTACCGCTCATGGGCGAAGGCACTTGCCATCGCACCAAGTGCGACCTCTATTTAGTATTTACATAAAATTTTGCACTGTACTCTGTAGGTCTAGTGAATAATATTCTAGTCATTCGACAGCATTTTTCTGAGAAATATACAAGAAGTTGTATTAAGGTTGCAACTTGTGTTGTATTCTTGGTTCTGACTTCAACTGAAGACCTCGAACAAGTCTGGAGCTCTTTGCATTATAGCGTACACACACGCGCACAATTAATGTGCCTATGCCCAGACGATCTTCATTATGCCCGAATGCAAAGGAAAAGACCATTCTGGTGAAATTTGTAATGCATCAGCCATCCACCGGTTCTAATAATGCATGCAGCTTTCTCTCCCTTCCCATCGCACTTCCCCTAAAGAGAATGTGTCAGCCCTGCGTTCGTTAGCAGCACCCGCAATAGTCAGGTGAGTAGGATTAACCAAAAAACAAAAAAACTTCAAAAGGTCAACGAAACATGCATGCATAAACTAAACACCTCAACTAATTTTGAAATTACCTGTGTTGGTATATGGTCCAGCCCATGGTCAATGTTCTAGATTATTCTAGTAAGCAAGAGATGAGGCTGAAGCTTGCTAGACAATTCTAGAATGTTATTAAGTTGATGGAAGAAGCTAGAGAGTACTAGCTTCCTTGGTTGCAAATGGAAAGATCTAGAAGCTACAAGTATATGGCTAGTCTAGATTTTTCTATACTAGAGGTTTGAAGAAGGAACTAGAAACTAGTAGAATGCCAAACCCTCACCTATAAATATGGGTGTGATGTAACCAATTGAGAACCAAGAGTGAGTAGCAAAGGATCAAGTCCAAAGCTAGAGTTCCACTCCAAGAGTGAGAGTGAGAGTGTTCCACTACACATTGTGTGAGTGAAGTTTAGAGTGATAGAAAGTGTGTGTTATACTTTCTTGTATCCATCAAGCCTTGTCTTTGGCTTGGTAAGACTACTCTTGTTGTATTCATCTTTTTTTTTTTCATATAGTGAAGATTCCTTGTTTGGTGGACGTAGGCATAAATTGCCGAACCACATAAATTCTTGGCGTCCATTTTCTACTTTACCTTGTGCATTCTCTATCTTGTAGTACCGACATTCCTAACAAGTGGTATCAGAGCCCGGTTGGCTCGTACTACGAGATGGAAGGAAGTGGCACTATGATCAAACTCACCAACTCCAATTGGGTAACATGGAAGCCAAGGATGGAGGACATTCTCTATTGCAAGGATTTGCATGAGCCAATTGAAGGAGATGCCGCTAAGCCCGAGAGCATGTCCGATGCCGAGTGGAAGAAGATGAATCGCAAGGCTATTGGCACAATTAGACAATGGGTGGACGATAGTGTTTTTTCACCATGTGTCTAATGAAACCAATGCTCGCGAGTTTTTGGACAAAGCTTGAGTCCTTGTTCGAGAAGAAAACTCCAGCTAAGAAAGCCTTCTTGATCAAAGAGCTCATCAATGTGAAGTACAAGGATGGTTTAAGTGTAGCAGAACACTTGAACAATTTCCAGAATATCATCAACCAGTTGGCTACTATGAAAATGACGATCGAGGACGAGCTACAAGCGCTTTTGTTACTTGGATCCTTGCCAGACAGTTGGGAGACCTTTGTGGTGAGTATAAGTAACTCTGCTTCTAATGGTGTTCTTACTCTTGATAATGTTAAAAATAGCATGCTCAATGAAGAAACAAGGAGAAAGACTTCTGGCACAGATAGCAGCCAAGTATTTGTCACAGAGAACCGCGGAAGAAGCAAGAGTAGAGGGCCTAGAGGTCATGGCAGGAGTCCTAGCCGATCCAAGTCAAGGTTCAGGGGTGCATGCCACCATTGTGGCAAAGAAGGCCATATGAAGAAAAATTGTCGAGTTTGGAAGAGAGAGCAAAGGGAAGGAAACAATCAGAAGAAAGATGATACTGGCAATACCACCGCTGTCATATGTGGTGATGTACCAGAAATATTGTCTGTTGGTGAATGTCTGCATATGGGCAACTCTGACAGAGACATTGAATGGATCTTTGATAATGGAGCTTCCTTCCATGCTACGTCCAAACGGGAGTTCTTCAGTACATACAAAGAAGGTGACTTTGGCATAGTGAAGATGGGGAATGAAAGCTATTCCAAAATTCTTGGAATTGGTGATATCTGCTTAAGAACTAATCTCGGCTGCCAATTGATGTTGAAAGATGTGAGACATATTCCTGATATACGTCTCAATCTGATATCCATCGGTACCCTTGATCGACAAGGATATTATCACCATATTGGCGAAGGAAAATTGAAGCTTACTAAGGGCTTAATGGTGGTAGCAAGAGCACGACTTTGTTGTACGTTGTACCGGTCAAATGCCAAGGTTTTGAAAGGTGAGTTGAATGCTGTGGAGGACTCATCTCTAGACTTATGGCATAAGAGGCTAGGCCACATGAGCGAGAAAGGCCTACAAGTTTTGGCAAAGAAGTCTCATATTCCCTTCGCCAAAGGTACGTCGTTAAACTCTTGTGAGCATTGTTTATTCGGAAAACAAAGAAGATTTAGTTTTTCTGTTCCATCTACAAAGAAAGGAAACTTGTTAGATCTTGTTTATTCAGATGTGTGTGGTCCCATGGAAGTCGAGTCACTCGGAAGAAATAAATATTTTGTTACATATATTGATGATGCTTCACGAAAGGTTTGGGTGTATTTGTTGAAATCCAAAGACCAGGTGTTTCAGACATTCCAGGAGTTCCATGCCATGGTGGAGAGGGAAATTGGGAAACCTCTTAAGTGCCTTCGTAGCGACAACGGCGGCGAGTACACATCTCACCAGTTTAGAGAGTATTGTGTGAAACATGGCATACGTCATGAGAAGACAGTTCCTGGAACTCCACAACATAATGGTGTTGCTGAAAGAATGAACCGAACCATCATGGAGAAAGTCAGGTGTATGCTGAGGACTGCAAAGTTATCTAAGCAGTTCTGGGGTGAAGCTGTAAGGACAGCCTGCTATTTGATTAACCGATCTCCATCAGTACCATTAGGTCTTGATGTTCCAGAGAGAGTATGGGCTGGTAATGATGTGTCTTACTCTCATCTGAAAGTGTTTGGCTGTAAAGCTTTTGTGCATGTGCCCAAAGAGCAGAGATCGAAGTTAGACTACAAAGCTACACCGTGCATCTTTCTTGGTTATGGCGATGAAGATTTTGGTTACAGATTATGGGACCCATACCAGAAGAAGTTTATTCGAAGTAGAGACGTGGTCTTTTATGAAGATCAAACAATTGGGGATTCGGATAAAGAAGCACAACCAGATGGCGCAGACAGAGGAGTTGATCCATTAGCTTCAGATGAAGAAAGTCACGATGACATCCCTGAAGCAGCTGCCAATGAAGTGCCTGCAGAACCAGATAATGCTGATCAGGGGGAGCCTGATCAAGATGTGCCAGACCATGAGATTGCTGATCAGGTGGAGCCTAGTCAAGAAGAGCAGATTCAAGGAGAATCCAATCAGGGGGAGCCTTCAGCCCTACAAGAGAATGAAGATCAGGTCAGAAGATCCATCAGAAGTCGAAGACCGTCTACCAAGTATTCTTCATCAGAGTATATCATGTTGACTAATTATGGAGAGCCTGAAACATATGAGGAGGCCAGAGCTCATAACGACAGTGACAAATGGATGAAGGCAATGGAGTCGGAGATGGATTCCTTATCAAAGAATGATACCTATGAGCTGGTGGAGCTTCCAAAGGGCAGGAAAGCATTGAAAAACAAGTGGGTGTTCAAATTGAAAAGAGACGACAACATGACAAGGTACAAGGCTCGTTTGGTTGTCAAAGGTTTTGGTCAAAAGAAAGGAGTTGACTTCGATGAGATTTTCTCACCGGTGGTGAAGATGACTTCCATTCGAGTTATCCTTGGTATGGCAGCAAGTATGGATCTTGAGCTCGAGCAGTTAGATGTTAAAACTGCATTTCTCCACGGCAATTTAGAAGAGGAGATATACATGGAGCAACCCAAAGGCTTTGAAGTCAAAGGTAAAGAAAATTTGGTGTGCAAGCTCAAGAAAAGCTTATATGGTCTTAAGCAGGCTCCGAGACAGTGGAATAAGAAGTTCAACTCATTCATGGTGAGTAATGGGTACAAGAGAACTCATGCTGACTCTTGTGTCTATATCAAACAATTTTCTGGAGGTAAATTCATCATCTTATTGCTTTATGTTGATGAAATGTTGATTGTCGGACAAGATACCTCTATGATTAAAAAGCTCAAAGAAGAGTTATCTAAGTCCTTTGACATGAAGGACTTAGGGCCAGCCAAGCAGATTTTGGGCATGGATATAATTCGTGACAGAAAATCCAAAAAGTTGTGGCTGTCACAAGAAAAGTATGTTGAACGGGTGCTTGAAAGGTTCAACATGAAAGCAGCCAAATCGGTAAGCTCACCTTTAGCCAATCATATCAAGTTGAGCAAAGAGTCATGTCCAAAAACATATGAAGAAAAGGAGAAAATGGCAGTTGTTCCCTACTCTTCAGCAGTAGGAAGTATCATGTATGCAATGGTGTGCACACGGCCATATATTGCTCATGCAGTAGGTGTGGTGAGCAGGTTTCTCTCTAATCCAGGGAAGGACCACTGGGAAGCTGTTAAGTGGATTCTCAGATATTTGAAAGGGACTTCTAAGATGTGCTTGTGCTTTGGCGGTTCCAAACCAATCTTGGAAGGATTTACAGATGCTGACATGGGAGGTGACCTGGATGGTAGAAAATCTACGTCTGGGTACTTGTTTACTTTTGCAGGGGGAGCCGTGTCTTGGCAATCCAAGTTACAAAAGTGCATTGCTTTGTCCACAACCGAGGCTGAATACATAGCCGCTACAGAAGCATGCAAGGAGTTGTTGTGGCTGAAGCGGTTTCTCCAAAAGTTGGGTTTGAAGCAAAGTGATTATGGCGTTTATTGTGATAGTCAGAGTGCTCTGGACTTGAGCAAGAACACTACATATCATTCACGCACTAAGCACATTGATATTCATTATCACTGGATTAGAGACGCTATCGAGAACAAGTTGCTGCAGCTGAAGAAGATTCATACCGATAATAATTCTTCAGACATGTTGACAAAGGTAGTCACAAAATCAAAGTTGGAATTCTGCATTAAGGCTGCTGGGATGAACTCCAGGTAACTTGGAGTCATGATCGGAATTCCTCCCTCATGGACTGGAGGGGGAGATTGTTGGTATATGGTCCAGCCCATGGTCAATGTTCTAGATTATTCTAGTAAGCAAGAGATGAGGCTGAAGCTTGCTAGACAATTCTAGAATGTTATTAAGTTGATGGAAGAAGCTAGAGAGTACTAGCTTCCTTGGTTGCAAATGGAAAGATCTAGAAGCTACAAGTATATGGCTAGTCTAGATTTTTCTATACTAGAGGTTTGAAGAAGGAACTAGAAACTAGTAGAATGCCAAACCCTCACCTATAAATATGGGTGTGATGTAACCAATTGAGAACCAAGAGTGAGTAGCAAAGGATCAAGTCCAAAGCTAGAGTTCCACTCCAAGAGTGAGAGTGAGAGTGTTCCACTACACATTGTGTGAGTGAAGTTTAGAGTGATAGAAAGTGTGTGTTATACTTTCTTGTATCCATCAAGCCTTGTCTTTGGCTTGGTAAGACTACTCTTGTTGTATTCATCTTTTTTTTTTCATATAGTGAAGATTCCTTGTTTGGTGGACGTAGGCATAAATTGCCGAACCACATAAATTCTTGGCGTCCATTTTCTACTTTACCTTGTGCATTCTCTATCTTGTAGTACCGACATTCCTAACAACCTGTTTTTGCACTCTTCCTTTTTGATGATTTTTGCAGCCGCCCATAGTGAGCTGCAATGTAGTGGTTAAACCCTGTAACTGCTAGCAGCTAAACCAGACAACTGGAGGGTCTTGGTGAATCCAGTTTTTTTAGGTCTGCCGCCCTCCCAAAAGCGTGCTTGTGAAACTTTCTGCAAAATTTTGTGACTATAAACTGTTACTTTCTTGCATATATTTTTTGGAATGAAATAAGACTAGAGCATTGCAAATCACGATATTGGGAGAGGGGGAATTGAACTCGGGACCTGGAATATGATAATCTGCACTTGTTTAGTTGGAATATTGTAATTTGTCACGTATAACCATAAATTGTTTAGTTGGAATATTGTAATTTGTCAAGTATAACCATAAATTGTTTAGTTGGAATATTGTAATTTGTCAAGTAAAATGAATAGAGTGAGTTGGTAAATAAATAGAAAAGAGCTTAATTACCATAAATGGAAGGCCTCTCATGCAACTAAACAGCATCCTCTGCTTAGAATATGACGTCACCCTCATCGTCAAGAAAAAAAGGGAATCTACCTGTGATTTTGATGTTGGGGATGTGAGAAATCTTGGGCCATTCCTTTCCTCTGCCTTTTTGGCAACCTCGTGCAAGATTGCCAGAGTGGTTGATGACAAGTGTTTCAAGTGGTGTTTTCCACAAGAAGTCTGGCAATGTTTTTAGCTTATCGCAGTTCTCAAACCTCAAAGAAGAAAGGCATGGCATTATGGTAATATGAGAATCCTCTTCCTTCCACTCTTCCACTCCTTTCCACTCTTCCCACGCCAACATGCGTTCAAATGTTAGTTCTTTAAGTTTTGGGAATAGAGTAATGCATGATGATGCTGATGATGTTTCCTTTTCTATTCCCAGAAACTCAACTCCAACCTTTTTTACTCCTTTCATTTCTTCGAGCCAGAGCGTTTCGAGGGACGGCAATTTTCCCAAATGAGGTAAAACTTCACATTCCCATGTAGAAAGAACACGACATCTCAAATTGTTTAATGACATGATCCAGTTGGGGGCAGTGCTTTCATTATGCCCTCTAATTTCTAAATATTCCAAATTTGGATGCGGTCGTAAAAAATTCAGTGTTTCTGCACTTCTTCCACAACCAAAAAGAGATATACTCAATTCTAAGATTTGTTGTTTGTTCCCCAGGGGTGATGCTTTCTCACCCTCACCCGCAGCAACTTTCACATCCCCATCAATTTCTATGCTGAGAACACGAAGTTGGTCTAAGTTTCTCAAATCTCCCAATTTGAACGCTTCATCGTCGTCTTTACCACCGCTGACAGGGCACCGATCTAATCCTCTTAGATTTTTAATCTCCCAATCCCTTTCGGCAAGTACTTCAGCCGAGAGCAATACCCAACATAAAGATGCTTTAAGTTAATCAACTTTCCCATGCTCTGAGGTAGACTTTCAAGTTCTTCACACTCAACAAGGCGCAAAGTCTGCAAATTGTATAAATTACACCCCATTCGGTAGCCTTTTCAAAGGATTTTTGGACAAATCAATAAACCTCAGATGCACCAATTCACCTATCTCTTCCGAAAGCACTTCAATACAAGGACCACTCAAATTTAATGTCCTAAGATGTTTCAACTGCGAGAACAAAGTTGAGCTCACAACATTAAATTTTGAATCAAAAGTGGCAAGAGTACGTAGATCGTAGCTGGAAAACGAAACACATGAGAATGGACCCTCAGGTGCAAGCATTAAGGTCAAATGGCGGATCTTATCACCCAAGGGATTTATTGTATTGTTACCACCCTTAACCTCCATTGTAAAGCATTCATGTTGAGTAAGATACTGCAGAAAATCGTGCACAATATCATGCATTTTACACCTCCAGATATTTCCATCACTGAGTTTTTGAAAGTCTTGAAAGAAAGATCGCATTGCTAAATTATCAAAAAACCTTTGGCCAATTATTTCTTTCTCCATGTTTCCTTTCGAATAGAGATAATCTTGTGACATCCACAACTCAATCAAATAATCTTTATAGATCAGATGATCTTTTGGAAAGATAACACAATATAAAAGGCATCGTTTGACTGCAGGTGCCAAATCAAAATAACTCAGTAATAGTGGTTGGAAAACTTGTTGCTCAACCTCTTCAAGGTCCCATATCTTACTGTTCAAAACTTCTTGCCATTCTTTCCTCGCTTTCTTGTAACGCATGAGACTACCCAGAGTCTTTGCAGCAAGAGGCAAACCTTTGCACTTTTTTGCTATTTCTTCACCAATGGCTTCCAACCAGGGGCGGATCCACAGTGGGGTCAATGGGGTCACACGACCCCTTGGAAGCCATGGAAACTACCTTAGAGACCCCTTGGAGATGGTGGAACGACCCCTTGGAGCTGACTGGTGCGACCCCTTGGCTGCACACCAACTGTTCGACGAAAGGCTCCTCGGCGGCTGGGCAAAACGAAGACGAAGGAGAAGGCGCTGCGCGCCTGTTTTTTTTTAAAAGCAACCTGGGCAAAACGAGTGCAGTGTTCTGGAATTTCTAAGTTTTTCAGGTTCTGTTCTTGCGACGAAAGGAGGAAGAAGATGAGTTTCTCTCTCATCCTTTCCTTCTCACGTGACCATCTCAAACTTTCCCATAAAATTTATTTTATAATTTTGTCCAATCACATTTGGATAGCTAGCATTAAGTTGACGTTTTCAAAAAGGAAAAATGGGCTGTCAATACCCAGGTTTAAATTTTTATATTCAAGATGGGGAAAAGCAAAGAATTAAAAAGAATAAAATATGGTCTCTGTTTGTGAGTCTCTTGCTAATGTGAGTGATGGAAGGTGTTTGCAATGCTTTTCTGACCGTTGGAGGTGTTTGCATTGCTATCATCAAAGCAATGCCAGACATTTACAAATGTAAGCCACCCATATAACTTGACAGCACGTTAAGCGCGTTAAGCCACGTGTGTTTGGTTAGGGGATTTCTTTGATGATAGCAATGTACGTAGTTTGGGGATGTCTGGCATTGCTTTCTAGTTTTTTTATTATGAAACCATCCAATTCATTACATGAGATTTTTATTTTTATTTTTGAAAAATTAGATATAATTATTCAAAATATCTTAAGTTATATGGCATATATGCTTAATATGTTTCTAAATTTTAGACTTGTTAGATATTTTTTTTGTACGTTCAGGACCTTTGAACAAGGATTTTGGAGTAGCTAGTCGCGCTATCCCAATGAAATGACGATATGCATGCCGTTTCTGTTAAAAAAAAATTTCGCGCTACGCGCGCTATCCTTATTGAACTTTTACACTGCGACCCCTTGGGGTAAGATTCCTGGATCCGCCACTGCTTCCAACGCACCATCCTTATCCCTATTATAAAATGTCATGCGGTTGAATATTGACAAACAATTTTGTTCGCTCAACCTCTCCAAATAGATTGTGCGAGTGGGAGCTCCCATCATATCAGCAACCTCCTGTTTTCGAGTGGTCACCAATATTCTACTGTCATGGGCGCCACCTTGTATTAATGGCAACTTCAATTTCTCCCACTTTCTTTGGTCTTCAGTCCACACATCGTCTAGGACAAGGAGAAACTTCTTTCCCTTAATGGATTCAGACATACACTGAAAGAAATCTTCCAACTCATCCGAATTTGGGCTGACAGCTTTAGCACCAGAGATGATGGCTTTAGCAATTTTCATCTCATCAAAAGGGTCTGAAACACAAACCCATATTCTTATCCCAAAACAAGCTTTAACATTTTCATCGTTAAAAGCCAGTTGGGCCAAAGTTGTCTTCCCCATTCCTCCCATCCCGACAATAGGGATGACAAGGAGGCCCGTCTCTTCTTGACTACTCTCATTCAACAACTTGCCAACCAAAACTTCCTTTTGTTGTTCTCTACCAAATATGATAGATTCATCAACAAAAGAAGAAGTTTTCTCTCGCTCAGGTTGTTCACTGATTATTCTCTCTGTGAATCGAAAGTTATATGTTTCTCTTTGCTTTGCAATCTGATCTAAATTTTCATTCAGACTTTTGATCTTAAGAGCAATGTCACGATGAAGAATTATCCGATGGACTTGGCTGAAACAAAAGCAAGAGGATGGAATAGAGAAACATACCGACTTCATCTTCTTCTCAGTAACAAGAGAAGTACTTCCACCGTGCTCTTCTTGTTTCTCAATTTGTTGTTTCAGTATTTCAGTGTTCCACTCATCCAGCACATTGTCCATCTTGTGCGACACATCTTTCAGCTGCTCCAGCCAATTTCTGACGTTGGCGTCCCTCACTTGCCTCAGCTCCGCATCCTCAAGCACAGCACCAATCACTTTAAGTTTGGCCTCGAATTCTTGAACATCTTTCTCCGCATTCAAAACCAGCTTCACCTCTTCTCCGACGTGTTGGTAAGTTACCGAAGCCAGTTGTTCGAGAAGCACGGAAATGAGTGCCTCAGCCATCTTTCTGTTAGCAGCGGAAACAGAGAAAACCAAGAGATCTGAACCAAGAATTTCAAGATTGGTAAGGAATTTTCTTCTTGCCAAAATTTTGAGCTAAGAATAAGGCCCGGCTAGAAATAATTATGCTAATACTAATGGCAACAACTTGTCTGACAACCATTTATTGATGCTAATTAGTTGACCATTAAAAAAAACGAAAACTAATGGAAATGATCTAAAAATTTTGAGTTTTAATGGTAAAGATAAAATAAAGGGTAAAGTGAATAGTAATAGGATTGACTTTTTAGTATAAAAATATGATTTTTCGTTAAAATGAACAGTACCGGAAGCTTTTCGTTAAAGATTCTTTAAAAAAAACCTCCTTCCTGTCAATTAAAACCTAAAAATGTGCGCTAACAATATAAAAAGCAACAACACAATTTTTTATGTCAAAATATTCTCTTTCTTGTCAATTTAAAACCTAAAGATCCGCGCTAACCTAAAGATCTGCGCTAAGCTAGAAAATATAGAATGCTAGCCATGTGCCCAAACGTTGTGAGTGTAAATAAAGTTATCTGTTATTTAGTATTAGTACAAGGGAAAAAGATGAGAAATTTTTAATTATGACAGAAATATAAATATTATATCACGTGTTTTTATGTAAATATTAAAAAATTTTAATTTTTAAATTATTAACTCTTTAACACACGCAACTTATTATTTATATAAAGATACATGATGTATTACCTCGTGTGACGATCACACTAAAAAATCTCTCGAATGAGAGGGCGTTTTGGAGAGGTTCCAGCTGGTAAACAAGAAACTTTTGCTGGAATTTTAGTATAGACTAGCAACATTATCCGCCCGTTGTTGCATTGTCATCTCACACTCACTTCTTGAACTATTATTATCTTTTATGGTAAAGTACAAAAAAAATTATCACAATTATTGATGTTACGACACTTTTATACGAAGAAGAGAGAAGAAAAAAAAAAAAAAACCCATTTCGTCCATCCCCGGCACCCACCCTCTTCCCTCCACACCCATTCCCCCCATTTTCTCCGCGCCCAGGTTCTCAACCTTCGGAATCGGCTTGACGAAGGTTTCCCGATTCCACCTCAACGGGATATGGGCTTTTTTTTTTTTTTTTTGGATTGCAGGTAGCGGGTGCGAGGTTGGGTGCGAAGGTGGGGAGGTTGAGTGTGGGGAGTGGGTGCGGGGAGAAGAGGGGGTGGGGAGGGGGAAGACAAATTGGTTTTTTTTTTTTCTCTCTTTTTTCTGGGTTGGAGTTGCAAGAAGAGGGAAGAAGATGATGATGTGGAGAAGAGAGAGAACGCGGGGGAGGGGGACGAACTGACTGAGTATTGGTTTTTTTTTTTTTTGAATTTTTCTTTATTATTTTAATATTTAAAAAATATTAAATATTTTTTTTTGTTTTTAATAATATTTTAATAGAAAATGGGCTCCGGATTAAGGCACGTCAACATTTAACTGAGAAATTCACACCAACCTAACCGAAGATATAACATTGGCACAAATTCGTAAGATAAGGTATGACATTATTAATTTTAAAAGATAAGGTATAAAAATATCGTGACACCAATAATTAATAAGTTTTTTTTGTAAATTAGCCTATCTTTTAAACAGGATATGCAAGATAAATAATAGAGTTGGTAGGGTCGAAGTGAGTCATTCCTCACTTATTTCTTGAACAACTTGTATGACAGCCATACATTGATCCTTTTGCCTGTCAATTTACACCCTAAGGGTGCGTTTGTTGCACCGGACTGTCTCGGACTGGACTAGCTGCAGGGACTAAGTTGGACTGGCTTAGACTAGACTAAGCTGGACTAGTTTAGTGAAGCGTTTGGTGCAGTGTCGGACTAAGAAGCAAGATAATGAAAACAATACTGTTCACTAGTTTGGTGTTTGCTCAGACTATGACTACATTATTGTTCTATTTTAATTGCTTTTTTTTTATTAAAGATATTATTTAAATTAATAATATTGAATGAGAGTGAGACTCAATAAAAATACAAAAACCAAATTTTTTTGCCAACGAAAGAAATATACATGATTCAAGAGTAGCATTGTTCCAAACATCAATTTAAAAAAGTATTCTCTCAACAATTGATAGGGTTCAGAATGCTTTTCTTAATTATTCACCTTTGGTTTAAAGTTGTAGATTAAAGTTAAAGCTTTGTTTGCTTTTTTTGGTTGTGTATTGCAACTTTGATTGCTTTGTCGTTTGCCTTATTACCTTTCATGTTGGTGTTTTTTTGAACCGTGTTTAATTAAGTTGTACCGAAAAGAAAAAAGCCATTAGTACATCCCATACTGCAGCAAATATTAGAAAATACAGTGAACAATCTGTTGAATCCAAATCACAGAAATTCAAATGTATCATCTAATCAAATTGAATTCCTCTTCAATCGAGTCACCGCTGATATCAAAGTATATGTAAAGCAAGAAAATGTATAAGCAGGTTACTCAAGAAATATTTGATTGACTTGACTCACTTCAATAGACATCAGATTAAGTTATGATGAAATAAACAGCAACATGAAATATCAACTATCGAGTCTCGAGTAGGGTAAAAGTGTTTTCATTAGCTGAAAAAGCTGTAACCTTGTTTACACAAGGATCGACTTTGTTGTCATCTAGATCTCTTTCACTGTAAAAACCAGGTTTTTCAAGTTCAAGCAATCCACTTTCACCACTCAACATCAGAACTGCAGCTGGCATGCTTGGCCTATCTGCCGGATTTCGCTGCACGCACACGCATAAAAGACCCACATGGATTGATCGCAAAACTTCATGTGGATTACTGGAGTCTCCTACTGATGTCTCGAGCATTTCAATGGACTTGCCTTCTGTGTATATATTCCATGCCTAAAAGATCACAACCACCAATCGTACTGAATAAATAGAAGTACAAAAAATCAAGTAAAAACAAATGGAAACAAGGATTAGAGATCAAACAAGAATACTCGTATGCTTAGTTTGAATTAAGGATTATAGTTTTTTTTTTTTTTGGTCTTTTTAATCTGTTGAATCAAGAAGTAGGGGTTGAACAAAGATATTTTAATCATAATCAAACGATAAAGGCATTCGAATATGTAGCTATCACAAGTCGAAAAAGAAACAAGTCGCTCATTCTATTTTCTGTTTGTACTGGATATCTAACTAATTAACAAAAAAATTAGCCTTTGAGCAATCAATTTACAACTTTTGAGGTTGCTCTATTTCTATTCATTTTTGCCATGGAGCTCCTTCATTTATACATACAAACTCCAATGATCACAGTAGACGAATACTCAAACAAAGAAAGATAAGGATGCATCTCCCAAACGAAAATCTGAACCCAGATCAAAACAGGATCACGATGCAACGGTAAGATTATTTCCTGCAATTAAGCCCCAGTATTCATGGGCTTCACACATATATTGCAATATGATTTATCAATCAAGAAGACAAACAACCCATGAACATGAGCCATTAGATGCAGGCAATTGAAGCAAGACCATTAGTTCCAACTTACAGTAGATAAACAAGATATTTTTCAGAGCATGATTCGTTTTAGTTAAACCCACCTTCTTCGCTCACTATGGAAAGGACCAGAGAAGAAGTTCTTGGACACATTGAATTCAGTTAAGTAGGGAAGATTACAAATGCTTGGAGACAAAGTGCCAGACAAATTAAGTCCATTGAGATATATTATAGAAGTCACCTTGAAATCAGAACAATGAATTCCGGTCCGATTGCAAGGATTTGAATATGCTGAATATTCCAGGACACACACCCACACCCAAAATCAGCATACCCATATGGAAGGACACACCCACACACACACAGAGTACATACATACATACAGACACATACAATCATAGACTATATACACATATCAATTATTAGATGAAATTCAACGATGGCAGAACAAATTATGATGAAATTCATATATATATCAAATCCACTCCAGTAAAAGCCCAAATTTTAATATCAAGTTGAACCTAAAAATGAAAACCCTAATTTTATTTTCAACTGCCCAGATCAGTTATTGAAAAGTTTTCAAACCAAAACAACGAAGTCGTTCATAACCCAGTAATAATTTACCAGGCAAAATCGAAGTCGTTTCGTTCACGATCAGCAAAAGAAAATCGAAGAAGAAAATCGTCAGATTCGAAATTTACCTGACGAGGAGCAGAGGATGGCAATCAGGACGCAGAGGAGGGCGAGGAGGACGAGGGTGAAGGAGTAGGATGTCTTCTCTCGCAGACAAGCGACGAATTTCCCTCTCGCTGGGCTTAGTAGTACCGTGAAAATTGGGGGTTCTCGCTAAGAACGCTTAGCGAAGGACTTTGTCTGAGCGAGTCCGGGTTTATCCCATTAAACTCAGTCCCTCTACCTACCAAACATGGGACTCACTAAATACTTAATCCAGTCTAGTCCAGTCCCACTTAGTGAGGTCAAACAAACGCCCCCTAAAGTTTTTAAATTTCATCATCTTACACCACAGAATAAAAAAAAATATTACAAGACGAACAAGCTTTGTCTGTATAGTCCACCGTTCAATCAAGTAGTGCTTAGCAGAGCTGTCAACCGTTGTTTCTCCATTCATTTTTTATAGTCCACCATTCGTCTGCATTGCCATCACCTGACGGAAGGTCGTCGGTCAAAGTTCGTAGGCCAAGATCGTCGTCGCACAGAGTTTTATGCAACGGACATGAGATTCCGTCGGTTAACTACTCTTTTACTAGACGAGCAGGTTCGTCACATAGAAATAAATTTACGCGATGGAGATGATCTCAACCGACGGACTCTGTTTGGTTGTCATTTTATATTAAAATAAAGCTATGGGATAATCCAACGAGATCGTTCATCGGGAATAAGTGATTTAAGAGATGACTGTTCCGGTAAATTTATATGATATTAAAAAAAATCTAAATGCATTAATTAATTAAAAATAGAATTGGAAAATGAAAATATTAAGTACCAAGATTTTTAAAAAATTATATTGTCAA